CACTGTTGTGTTCCTCTGCTCCATTTTCCGCACTGGTCCTCCCACGGTGGGTGTTGGCTACCGCGACGTCGTCAGCTGGAAGACTGGCTTCCTGTGTTCCTGTTGGGGTGCCGCCAATGACGTGGACGGCGTCAGACAGGATCACTTGTTGGCGAGGAGGAGTGGCATCTGAAGGTGGAGTTCGTTGGAAGGGTTGGGACCGACCCTTTGGTGCCGGGTCGTCCCGGTGACACAAGCGGAGCCTACAAATTCCTTCATGACGGAGCAAGGTGAATCTGCCTCGATTTCTCCTGATGGAGATGAAGACTCAGTTTATTCCGCTGATGAAGACCTCGATGATCACCAAGTCTTGCCAGAGTCGCTCGACGTTCATCTCCGGGATATATCGCTGGATTGACGGAAGATGAAGATCTATTTGATTCTATTTGTGGTCATGAGTTTCGTGATGGTGTACTCTTCCTGCAGATCTTATGGAAGAACGATGAAACGTCGTGGGAGAAATATCGTGCTTGCCGCGAAGATTTTCCTTATGACGTCGCCAAGTACATTTGCTCCAACAAGATTGGATCCGCCTCTGGTAACCATTCAAATGGACCACATCAACGATGGGCACGTACTTTCTTGAAGAAAACTCGCCGTGTTCTGCGTCGTTTTGTTCGATACCATGGATATTCGAAACCTATGTTGAATACCCACGATTTTCGTCGTCCTTGTGAGGACGACAGCGATCAGATTCAATTGACCAAGATGCACAAGAAGTCCCTGCCCCGCCAAGTCAGAAGAGCCAAGAAAAAAGGCCGTCTACGGCATTCCGATTCCGCGGACAGTAAAAGAAGCACTTGCCCTTGATGGTGATAGCGGGAACCACTTTTGGCGCGAAGCAATGGAAAAAGAGATTGCTTCCCTGATTGTAATGAATTGCTTTGATTTTCACTTGAGTGATTACAAGCCTGGCCCAAATTCTCAATCTGCGAATGATTTTTGAAGCAAAGCAAGATGGAAGACGCAAAGGAAGATTGGTTTGCGGAGGTCACCTCGTGGACCCACGAGGCATCTCAACCCGGTCAACAGTTGTGAAGGGCGTCAGTGTCCGCCTTCTGGACATGATTGCTGATCACTACGGTTTGACAATTGTCCATGGTGACGTTGGCAATGCATTTATAACTGCTAAATGCCTGGAAGAAATTCACTCGGTTGCCGGACCTGAGTTTGGAGAGCGCGAAGGCGCTGTTATTACTATTAACAAAGCCCTCTAAGGGCCTACAGAGAAACTTTTGCAGCGTTCATGAGAACTATTGGTTTCCAATCAAGTCGCTATGACTGTGACGTCTGGATGAGGCTACGTGAGGATAACAAGGGATACGATTATCTATGCACTCACATGAATGATTTCAAAGTTGTGGCCAAAGATCCCCAACGGTGGGTCAATGCTATTGCTGGAGCCTTTCAACTGAAATGCTTTGGAAAGCCTGACTACTACCTTGGTATGGATCATAATTTCGACGAGGAGACGAAGTGTTGGTTTACTGGTACCAAGACCTATGTGGAAGAGTGTATCCGAAGGATCCAAGCTTTGCTTCCTCCTGATCATTTGCTCTGCACCCACAACACTCCTGCCCCCTACAACGGGAAAGCTTCCCATCATGAAGAGGACAAGTCCGATTTCCTTGATGACGCTGGAAAACGCCAATATCAGATGTTGGTTGGCATGGCTCAATGGGCCGTGACCATTGGACGAATGGACATTGCATATGCAGTCTCTTCGCTCAGCCGCTTTTCCTCAGCGCCTCGTGAAGGCCATCTGGAGTTAGCTTTCTACCTTTTTGGCTATCTAAAGAAATTCCCCAACAAGCAACTGCCTGTTGACTCGCGCCCGCTCGAACTTTGCCCGACACTCACAGCGACCAAAGGTACATTCAAGGCAGATTTCCTTGAAGAGTATCCGGATGCAAAGGAGGACCGAGATCCCAAGGAACCCAAAGCCTTTGGAAAGCCAGTACAAATAAGTGTCTTCTTTGATGCCAATCTGGCATACGGCCTAGTTACTCGGCGGTCCATAACTGGACTCCTTGTCTACGTCGGAAGCACCCTTGTTTCATGGACCTCCAAGCGTCAGGGCTGCATTGCATCGAGCACATATTGCTCTGAATTTATTGCTATGCGCGCTGCTGTTGGTGAAATGGGATCTTAACAAGTAAAAGAACAGTCGAACATGTCGGACAGTGAAGTCGGACATTCGTGATATCGAACACGGACAGGAGTACGGTTCGAGTACTTACCGAGATGGATAAGTATTGAAGGTAGATCCAGATCTGTGACTAATTCGTGAAGAACATGTGCGTATGTGCTTTATGCGCCGCGACAGCTGGTGAGAGCTGACGCAGGTTGCTTCCGGAAGAGATTTTTTGTACCTGCTTGTGGAGATCATTGTTGATCGACTTCTGGCAAGAATAGCAGTAGAATAAGATCTAATAGGAAGTGGTGAGACTGTTCATCCGCAGGTAGAAGCCCAGCATCACTGGCACCTGTTCCTATTGTAGGCAATCCATAGCCGACGTAGATTCGAGCTCAGTATACTCCAGAGGTGGCTAGAGCGTTGAGGCTCTCATTACAGCTACGGAGTTGAATATCTGACAGCTGCCACTGAAGAGGCAATCTCCATCCGATATATGCTCCGTTCACTGGGTGTTCCTGTAGAGGAGCCTACCAATTTACTTGGTGACAACCTGGGAGTCATCCAGAGTGCTGCCATGAAGGATGCAGATCTCAAGAAGAAACATGTCGCGATTTCTTACCATTGTGTTCGTGAGGCCGTTGCAGCTCAAATTATCAAACCAATTTGGTGTAAAACCGATGAAAATTGGAGCGACATTTGTACC